GGGTTCAACTCCTGGCGCTGCTGGGTGACCATCGACTTGTAGGCTCTAAAGTTTTACATTGTTTTATTTTTGAATGCAGGGGTTTTTTGTACATAATTCTAACATTTGTAAGTTCAACTTTCATGATAAAGAGATTGCACTCCAGTACTTGTTTTAGGTGAATTGAAAAACACTATTTCTTTTGCTTTTTACAGTGCAAATCAAAAATAAATACAAAGTGAGCAATTTACACGTTGTATTCTGTGCTGTAATTGAAATCAATATATTTGAAAATGTAGAAAACATCCAAAAATATTTAAATAAATGGAATTCTATATTTGTTTAACAGTGCGATTAATCGCGATTAATTTTTTAAATCGTGCGATTATTTTTTTAATCGCTTGACAGCCCTAATTATTAACCTATAATCATTAATATTTGATTTGTGTGGTACCCAAAGGCATAGTAGGTGCTTCAGACAGATTTGAGGTCAGGGCCATCCAATGAGCTAGACTGTACCTTTAGTGAATTGTATGGGTCCCTATGTTCTCTTTAAATTGTTGTAAGAATGCCCAGAGCAATCAAATGGGCCCTTATTATTATAAAGAGAAAGGAAGAAAGAGAGAACAAATGCATGGAATATGTTTTTCCTGTGTTTTCAAACTCTGGCCAGACCATCTGGTTGGCAAATATCACTCTGCCACATAGGACCGAGTGAGTACTGCAGGAGCCCTGAGAACTGATTTGCAAATTCAGAAGCATTTGATGCCCCCTGGAGTTTCAGAATGACCTCTTTAGCCGGCTTCCGCAGATATCAGTTTTCAAGAGCCTCCACCCAGTCCTGCTAGATTCCACACAAGGGATAATGGTAAATCAGGTCTAGTTGCATGTAAACAGTAGCCTCTGTCTGTACTCTGATTTCAGAGTGGTAGCCGTGTTAGTCTGTATCCACAAAAACAGCAAGGAGTCCGGTGACACCTTAAAGACTAACAGATTTATTTGGGCATAAACTTTCGTGGGTAAAAAACCTCACTTCTTCAGATGCCCTATCTAAAGAAGTGAGGTTTTTTACCCACAAAAGCTTATGCCCAAATAAATCTGTTAGTCTTTAAGGTGCCACCGGACCCCTTGCTGTTTTTAAACAGGAGTTGAGCTCTTTTGAAAATCTGTTTCCAGTCTTACGTGCTGGACATTTGACAATCTTGCTCTTTCGATGATTTGGCCTCAAGAATAGAGCCAGGAACAAGGCAAGGGATTCTAAAAAGCAGAGATCTATCATTTAAATGGCACGTTCCCTTAACCTCCTTTTCCTTGCCTGCTTGCTCTTGGATTGTGAGTTCCTGGCAGCAAGGACAGCGCTTGAGTATTTGAATAGCCCCTAGCACTGTAATATGTGATACAGTTCATAATAATATGTAAAAGGAATTAATTAATTAGGTATTAATATGTAACTTCCTTCATCACACAGGATCCCACAGCACTTTCCGTACAGGAAGGCAATGAAATGCAACCACTTCTGTGGTGGAACGGGGCAGCTGATCACATCAGTTTCCAAAAAAAGTGGCTGTTGATTAATGTGTCTCTGATGTTGCAGAGGTGCTGAGCGCCCACAAAGCCAGTTAGAAATTCGGAGCTCGGGGAGCTCCACACCTCTGACACTCCAGAGCTGGGCACCCAACAACTGCAGCCAATTTGGAACAAGTTATGTACATATGGAGGAGTGGAGGCCCAGCACTGAAATGCAACCACCTCTGAAGTGGAACAGCTGTCACTGTTACTAACCTTCCAGAATTCACAGGCCAGCTGATTTAGAGGAGCCAATAGGAGGGTGAGCTGGACCGTCTGGATTTTTGATTGGCTGTGGTACATATCAATCATCGTCTGTAGTGACCAATCGCATAACTCTACCGAAAAAAATCCCGCCTATTTTTAGTGTACTTCTCCCCTCCGTTCACTTGTCAATCAATTACCAGTGGGCGATAGTTTGGTCTCCCGTCTATTGGTAAGCCGCACCGTCAATCAGAAATCGGTCTTTCTATTGGTCGTCCGCATCCGTCCGTCATTCTCAAATCAGCCGCCCATTGGTGCAGCCGGCACTCCATCACTGGGTTCGCTTGATCGGCGGAGACGCCAATCAGGCGTTAGTGGCATTTGATTGGTTAGTGCAAGTGTGTCAGTGCTCCCATTGGCCAGGAAACGTGCTGGTCGGGTGGGGATTGGCCGTACGGCAGCCGAGGGGGCGGGGCATTCAGGGCGGCGCCCGGGCGGCCGAGGAGGAGGAAGATGGCGCCGTGAGGGGGTCGGAGCCGCCGCCGCCTCCGCTCCAGCCGGGTCTGTGCACTTCGCTCCCCCCCTGCCCGGGGCGCGGGGGCCGGGCGGGCGGGGCGCGGGGGCTCCCGCCCCGGGGCCCGGGAACGGGGGCAGGTCGCGGGGGAGGGGCCGGCCCGGGGCCCCGGCGAGCGGGGCGGGCGCGAGCGGCGCCGACCCGGGTGGAACGGGGACCCGGAAGGGGGCGTGGGGCCCTGCTCCGCCCTCCCCGGGCTACGGGCGGGCGGCGCTTCCGGGGCCCGGGAGGAGGCGGGACGGGCGGGGATAACCCGCCTCCCCGGGGACCCGCAGCTCTTGCTGCGCCGGAGTCTCGGGGGGGACTTGCAGGGTCCCCCGGTGCATTGGGGGCGCTCGGGATGGGCAGGGGGGAGGGAGGTTTGCAGGGTCCCCCGGTGCATTGGGGGGCGCTAGGGATGGGCAGGGGGGAGGGAGGTTTGCAGGGTCCCCCGGTGCATTGGGGGCGCCAGGGATGGGCAGGGAGGAGGGAGGTTTGCATGGTCCCCCGGTGCATTGGGGGGCGCCAGGGATGGGCAGGGGGGAAGGAGGTTTGCAGGGTCCCCGGTGCATTGGGGGCACCAGGGATGGGCAGGGGGGAGGGAGGTTTGCACGGTCCCCCGGTGCATTGAGGGGCGCTAGGGATGGGCAGGAGGTTTGCATAGTCCCTTACTGCGTTGGGGTGAGCATAGGGGATGGCATGGGGGGGGTTGTATGGTCCCCCGGTGCATTGGGCTGGACATTGGAGGGGCACTAGGGGTGGGCAGGGAGACTTGTGTGGTGGCTAGGGTGAGGGACACTGGGATTGAGGGGTGTGGAGGTTTGCATGGGCCCGAGTGCATTGAGGTGGGTGTGGAGGACACTTTGTGCAGCACCTTGGGGAAGGGGATGAGCTGCCCGGAGATGGGAATGGTGCATGGAGGGGATTAACTGGGTATCTGCTGCCCTACAGTACATGGGGTGACACTGACGGGGTTAGCAGAGGTGTGTGGGGATACAGGGATCCTTGGTCCCTGGGTCTTGGAGCTGGAGAACCTCACCTGCATGGGATGCTTTGGGAGCCACAGGATGCAGCAGGACTGATGCTGATGGAAGTCTCTGCAGGGCCTGATCACCCTCTCATTCCCTGATGCTGATGGAGTCCCAAGGGCTCCATGTAATATGTTGTTTACTATCAAGCAGTTAAAATATCCACACCCTCCATATGTTTCCTACTGTCTTTATAGGGAGGCTGTGAAGTACGGGTTTAGAGACCAGAGTCTGGGACCAAGTGACTCAAAACAATATCTTGGGGATTAGGACTATGTTAAGTCTAAATTATAAGAGTGTGAGCGCCCTGGGAGCCAGTCATCTGTATACCATGACATATATATTGTCAAAGCACCAGTAGCCACCTGTAGTACTTTGTCCATGTTAGCACTTCCACTGTTACAGTACTATGAAGCTGAAATGGTGGGTGATTTCCCTAAAAAGTCTGAGGACAAAGCCATACAGCAGACTCCGGTGTAGCAAAGTAAAATGTAAGTCTTGTGTTGTCTCAGTGCATCCTGATGTGCTGGTTGCAAATTTGGGTATAGTGAAAACTTTTTTCTTTGAGGGAAAAGACAGCGTTAAAGAATCAGAATTGCTGATGAAGAATTGATTGATTGAAGAAACTCCAGAACTAACGTATTGAAGTTTTGGTGCTAGAGGATCACTCAGGTTAAACATCATATCTTAAAAACAGTTTGCCTTAGTGATAAACACTTAAGAATATTAAAGGGGTGCTGTTAAGTTGAAATTGACACATTTAAAAACAAATTTTTTTTTGGCTAGAGATCACCCTTTGAATTACTGAAAATAAATGTTATATAAATAAAATTTTCAGTTCCCTTGTGGATGTTGATAAGGGTCTTATTACTTATTCTTTAGTGCCAATTATACTAATTTATATCTAGCAATAAGAAATAAGGCACACATTTTACGGGGAGGATAATTAACCACTTGAGCGACTTATCTATGGATGCAGTTGAGTTTCTATCACTTCAGATTTTTAATAAATCAGGATTGGATTCTCTCTCTCAGACGTATGCTCTAGTTCATCCAGAAGTTATGGCTTGGTGTGGAAACCATCTGGTGAAATTCTCTGCTCTGTGTTGTGCAGGGGGTCAGCCTAAATGATCGCAGTGGTCTCTTCTGGCCTGAAATTCATCACATTTGTTTCTCCTTTGCCAGCTGCTTCGACATCAGTGGTTCTCAACCTTTCCAGACTATTGTACCCCTTTCTAGAGTCTGATTTGTCTTGAGTACCCCCCAAGTTTCATCTCACTTAAAAACGACTTGTTTACAAAATCAGACATAAAAATACAAAAATGTCACAGCCACGCTAGTACTGAAAAGTTGCTGACTTTCTCATTTTTGCCATATAATTATAAAATAAATCAATTTAAATATAAAATGGTACTTACATTTCAGGGTATACTATATAGAGCAGTATAAACAAGTCATTGTATGACATTTTAGTTTGTACTAAGGGGGAGGGATAGCTCAGTGGTTTGAGCATTGGCCTGCTAAACCCAGGGTTATGAGTTCAATCCTTGAGGGGGCCATTTCAGGATCTGGGGCAAAAATATTGGTCCTGCTAGTGAAGGCAGGGGACCGGACTTGATGGCTTTTCAAGGTCCCTTCCAGTTCTATGAGATAGGTATATCTCCATATATATGTACTGACTTCGCTAGGGCTTTCATGTAGCCTGTTGTAAAACTAGGCAAATATCTTGATGAGTTGATGTACCCCCTGGAAGATCTCTGAATACCTCCAGGAGTATGTGTACCCCTGATTGAGAACCACTGCTCTACAGGGTAGCAGTGAAACCATCTAAACACACAGTGCTTGCCAATCCACAGAGTAAACACACTGAAAAAATACATTTTCTGTAACTTCTTTTAGGCTGTGCCTACACTTAAAATGCTACAACAGCACAACTGCAGTGGTGCCGCTATAGCGCTTCAGTGTAAACGCTCGCCACGGCAACAGGAGGGGTTCTCGTGTTGCTGTAGGTAATCCACCTGCCCAAAAGGCAGTAGCTAGATTGACAGAAGAATTCTTCTGTTGAACTAGCGCTGTCTACGCTGGGGGTTAAGTCGGTTTATTACGCCTCTCAGGGGTGTATGGGTATCATCACAAGCTAATAAGAATGCCCATACTGGGTCAGACCAAAGGTCCGTCTAATCATCTCAAACAATTTTACTAAGATCCATTTTTTCTCCATTAGCCTTACATTTTGGACCTAATCTATCTGGCAGTCCTATTAAATGTAGAACCAGAGCTCTGCTCACCTACCCAATGTGCAGCTCCAAGCATCTTGTTGACACTAAACAAATAATAAATAACCATTGTGAAGAACTGAGAAATAAAAACAAAATTTCTCCCTTGTCTGACTTATGGTTTTAGTAATTATTTTTAAGTTTCCTGACTCTGCTGTCTGACTGCAGTAAACATATACAAGTCTACCCCGATATAACGCTGTCCTTGGGAGCAAAAAATCTTACCGCGTTATAGGTGAAACTGCGTTATATCGAGCTTGCTTTGATCCACCGGAGTGCGCAGCCCTGCCCCCTCCCTGCCCCGGAGCACTGCTTTACCGCGTTATATCAGAATTCGTGTTCTATCGGGTTGCGTTATATCGGGGTAGAGGTGTATTTCTAATCCTCTGCAAAAGAGGAAGCTTCTGTCCCCATCATTCAGTCGGTTTAACATCTTATTCTTTTTTAGACCTGTCCCCACTAAGAACAGGGCCATGTTACCTAAAGCTGTGATTTGGTGAGGTCAGCTGTAGCCACATGTACAAAGGCTGCTTTTGGCTAGGTAGGATGTTCCTTTGTGTTTTTTATTTCCAGTGTAGTTTCTTTCATACGTGAGCTCCAGGCATGCAATGTGATCCATATGGGTGGGAAGGATGGTTCAGTGGTTAGGGGGCAAGCCTGGAAATTGAGAAATTAAGTCCCTGCTCCACTATAGACTTGCAACCTCGGGCAAGTCACTTGGCCTTGCTGTGCCTCAGTTTCCCGTATGTAAAATGGGCCAATACGTTCCTACCTCACGGGGGTGTTGTGAGACTAAATACATTAAAGATTGTGAGGCACTTGGATCCTACAGTAATGTAGATAGATAGCCCTTTTACACCCGAGCAGTCTTCATATCTGTGTAGGAGACTGCCTGCGTAGACCAGATTGCAGGACTTGGAAACACGTTCTGCTGCTTGTGGTACTGAGTATCGATAGGTGTCTTATGTAAGTATTTGCATAGGCCCTTTATACTGAGAAGGAAGTTGTAGATACAAAGGAAAATTTCCTGATGGCAGAACCTCAATGAAAGGGGCTAATTATCAGGGGGAAAAAAAACCCAAACCACTCTTCCCTTTATCTCTTTTGTAGAATGTTGAAGATAATGGCAGAGTTTCAAACAATTAAGTCTTGTGACAAGTGAAGGCGTTGCCTCTCAGAAAACCTACCAATCGTGCTGGTGTGAATGTTCCAGCTGGCTTCTAACAGGCGTTACTACTGGCTGGAAATGGGTTCTCATTGCCTGGCGCGATTGGTAAGTTTTCTCGTTCTTGTTCTACAGCTTGATTGCTCAGATTGCAGTCCTGTGGAGTTTTTAAATGCATCCTAAACTAATGAAGAGAGCTGTTTAGCCTGCATGCTTAAAGACTTGGTCCCTAGACAGTTAGCTAGCACGCACATATCCCTGTTTGTGTATCCTAGGGCAGGAACAAGTCCTAATTGTATTTGCTCAAATAACTTGATAAAAGAAACAACTCTTCAGCCAGCAGTCTTCAAGGTATCTTTGTTTCATCATCCTCTCAGAAGGCAAGGGAGTAGGAGAACATCAGATGGCGTGAGATTCATGGTTCAGACCGGACTTACCTGGTGATATATTTTTTTGCACACAACTGTGCCTGTGGGAAGCAGAGAGCCAAAGTACAGTGGGAATGGGGTAGACAGAGTGCTCTTTGACAGGTTGAAGGGGTGTTCTGTTCCGTTTGGCACACTGGACTGTAGTTGTGAGTTTACAGAAGGGCAAAGTGACTCTGAATTGTTCAGTGACTTTTTGGTGAATAAGTGAGTAGCTCACAGCAAACTGCTGTTAGATGATGACAAATGGTGATCATTTGCCAAGGAGGAACTTCTCCTGCCTCTCGTAAAGGTCTGTAGCCCCAAAGACGACAGGCTTGGAAACATTTACTCTGGTAAATTCTGGTTCTGTCCCCAAATCTGAATTGGACGGAGAGATGGGCTCCTGGAAGTTTTGTTTAAGTAGCCCATTGGTCTCACCATGCTGTAAATGGATTTGCACTCTGCTGCCTTTTCAAAATGTCAAACTGTCACCAGGGGACGTTGGGAGGAAATGTTTGGGTGACAGATTAACACTGGGTTCAAACAGCAAACACTGAGAGATGACTTCTCTCTCCACATTTATCCTCCTAACTGATTTATAAAGGTTAATGAGCCCCCCCACCCCCACACACTCCCTTAATGTGTTTCATTTTTTTGGCCTGGCTTAATGTCATTCATGTGCCATCCAAGAAGTTAATCCATAGCAGTTCCTGCTTTTGCTGAAAGGGAGGGGTGCAGTCATTTAGGAGTTCAAGCCCCTGGTTTTCTGGGAAGAATGTGTCCTTTTATCAAAGGCCATCTAGCTGGGCACAAACATCTGATGCTTCGGTGGCTGAGAGGTTACCACAGAGAGTGGCTTGAAGGAATGGATGCCCTTCTATCAGAGCTGGTGCAAATAATTTCCGTCTGATGATGTCCCAGGCTCTGGGAATCTCTAAACTGACTCTCTCTGAGGATTTATGCACTTGGCCATAGCAGGATGTGAAAGAGCCTTTGTGTAGCTTTGGGAGAAGCCTGGAGTCTCTCCTTACTCAGTGTTGAACTGTCTGCTTTTGGGAAGTGGACTCCTTGGTGACTTGGCTTGGAGCCCGCCAGCTCAGTTTCCGTGCTACTCTCTGTTTGGGGAAAGGTTCGGCATTGCTCACAGAGAAGTTTTCTCTCTCTGCTGACCAACAATAGTCAGTAACATGCAGGGCAGTCAAAACAGCAAACAGGAGAATGAGAGCATAGGACATTGACGTTACTAAGTGTTCTGGGTTTAATTGCATCTGAAATATATAAATAGCCTTTCTCCTAGCCCTGAGCTGTATTAAGATCAGATGACTGGCTCCTGTGGTGAGTAAAGTGTAGACACACACTGATTCCTAGAGTTGCTCCTTAAACTGATATAACATACTGTGCCGCTTGATTTGATTAATTCAGTAGGTCTCTCCATTGACCTACCTGTAAGAAGTATTGATGTAATTCTGTTATATTTACTATTTATTATTTATATCGTGGTTGCCTGTAGGAGCCCCAGTCACTGACCATGGCCCTATGGTGCTAGGCACTGTACAGACACAGAACAAACAGAGGCTCCTGCCCCAAACAGCTTGTGATCTAAAGATAAGACATGAGACAACAGGTGGATACCGACAGATGGAGGAGCATAAGGAAACAATAAGACAGTACTGGTCAGCACACCAGCTGCCTAACCGTTGTCAAGTTTTTTAGAGGCATCATGGCCCAGGAGAGTTTGAAGGAGGTCATGGGGGTGGCTTCGCAGATGGTTACAGAGATCCTCCATCCATACGTGAGAGGCAGTGTGGAAGAAAGTACTATCGAGCACTATTCAAGAACTATCCACCTTGTCTGAATCACCGGAGATGTAGTCAAATCTTCTTGTACCTGGTGGGAAATAACCCCAGGGTTCACACTCCTGGCATGTCAAGACTGTGTTCCTTTCCTCCCCTCTTTTCATAGGCTGAGGCAGACTCAGCTGTTGTGTGCCATGTGTCTCCTATTGTATAGAGACCATGCCTCCCATTCTGTTTCTCTCCCATTGTGGTGTCTTCCCTCACACTGTTGCTTAGGGTGTTGGGTGGTGTGGATACTTCATCCTTGATTTGACGGTTGTGGCTCATGGGGAGCGCAGGGCGCGTGGGTACCGTACATCTCCCCAGGGTTGGTAGCTGAAGCTAGAGAGCCGAACTGCAGTACAACCTGTCTCCCCATTCTGAGACCATCCCAAGCTTTGCTGTGAGGACCCATCTAATTGTAAACGGGCTGCTTTTGCTCATAGCAGCAAAGCGAAGCAAACTAAGAACTAAACACTTCCCCTCCCTATTAGCTAAGACTTGGTTTCTCCATGTCATGAGTGGCTCACTTTTCTTGGACTTCAGCGTTTGCCTTCTGCTTATGGGGGCGGCCATGTCTTCACTAGGGGGAAAAAGGTGGTTTTGCATCATGTGCTAGTGTGGACTAGGCAATTATTGTTTTTACAAGTGTTCGCTAGTCGAGGTAAACCCTAGGCCCTCCCCATGTTCATCTTGACGCTTGTGAAACTACAGAGTGCCTTGTCCACACTGGGATCTTACCATGTGGTGCCAAACCAATCTCTTTTTCCTAGTGCGGATGCAGTGTTTGGTTGGGGCTAGTGTATTGGCAGTGTTTCTGACAGTGGGTGCCAGACCTTAACGCCTAGGATCACCCCTCCCTTTATCTCTCTGAGATGGGAGAGTGACTGTGAACATCCATGTTCCTCAAATGTCCATAACTCCCCATTTCAGATCTGTGCCCTGCCAGGGATTGTAACGCAGAGAGTTCGGGGTTAGAAAAGCTCCCACTGGCATGTCTTCTAGGTAAATATTATCAAGCTATCGAGCCATAGAAGAATGTTAGGTGGGATGACCGGGGAATTTGCCAAAGGAAATATGGACGAAATGTCTTTCTACTCCAGGACAAAAGACACTGCAAGTGCTAAGGATTTAGGAGGGTCTTTCCCTGGCTTCGCTGTATTTAAGCCTGTAAAAAAGCAATCCTTTCTGCTGTGCTCATCGCAACCTTCCTCATTCCCTGCTGTCTCGCTGGAGTCTGCAGAGGGCGTGGTAGGGCTGAGAGGTTGAGAACTTGCCCACTCCTATCAGAAGGACGTTCAGTGGAGAAGCACAAGTATTTCCATTAAGTGCCAACGATATTAACCTTTTCACTGCTGACGGTCATACTGGAAATCTTCAGCGAGTGCTGTGCCTGTCAGGTTCTGAGGCTGGGTAACAGGAATATAGTATCTAATCAGAGTACTCCAATAATTGCTACTGCAGTCTCTGCTTCCATCTGCTAAGTGTGTCAGGCAAGCTCTTTTCTTACCGGGTCTCCACTAGTGTAGCCTCATCCTTGACCTGAACGCTGCTCTCTTCCCATTCAGTTGCCTGTTTCAAACTCCGTGCACTCCACTGTCTAGCTTTGGCTCTGATGAAATCATCCGCCGTGCTTTCTTGTCCTTTCGTTTTGCGTACTGCGGCTATATGTCCTCCCTGTCCATCTGCATGTTCGCATCTTCCTTTCACCCTCCCGCAGTTGCACTGCCAGCCGGGGACCTCCAGCAGAGAGTTATCTCATAATGACTTGTCAACATTCTGCACCAATAACACCCCAAAGGAATCAGCACTGACTGTCTTTCCAACCCAAAACAGCTTTAAAACTTTACCCTGATCGAAAACTTCAGGTATGTCTACACTGCAAAAGAAACCCCCCCGGCAGTGAGTCTCAGAGCCGGGGTCACGCTGCGGCACTGAAAATAGCTGTGTAGACCGTTTGGCCCCCGAAGCCCAGGGAGTGGGGTGGGCTTCAAGGCCTGAGCTCCAGCCCAAGCCAGAATGTCTACATGGCTGGTTTTAGTGCCAGAGCGCAGGCCTGAGTCTATAGACCCAGGCTCAGAGATGACCTGCCACAGGGGTTTTTTGGCAGTGTAGACATTCCCTTGGAAGCAAACAGAAGGCAACATGGACTTGCAGACAGAACTGGGAGTCAGACCAGAGGATCTCCTCTTCTTCCTGCTGCGTGGCCTTGGGCAAGTCTCTGGGCCTCTATTTCCCCTCCCACCCTTTCTCCGTCTGGTCTGTGTAGCTTGAAGGCTCTTCAGGGCAGGGACTGTCTGTCTCTTCCTCTGTGTTTGTACAGCGCCCGGCACAGCAGGGCCCCTAGGCGCTGCTAAGACACAAATAAATAATCGAGGGATCCAGCCATTTCCCTCTGTCTTCTGATCCTTTGCTTCTGTTTGCTGCCCATGGTGACATAATGGTCCCTTCTACAGTTAGCAACAATCTGTGCAAAGGATGAAACAACAAATTGCGAAATGATAAAATCGCACTTCACATGAAGGCGCACGCGGCCAGTAACTGAGCCATTTGTTAGGTCAGCGCTGATGATTTCGGAGGGCGAGATCAGTTCAGAGGACTGAAGTGCCGTGTGACTCCTTTAGGTGTGGGGGCTGGGGGTGATGCAGAAGGGAGAGAATTATGCTCCTTGTTGTCACCATTCGCCTTACTCCTCCCTCTGCGTGTTTCCTTCCTGCAGATCAAGAGGACAGCATGGCCGCCACTGCAGCAGTCAGTCCCAGTGAATACCTGCAGCCTGCTGCTTCCACAGCACAGGTAAGAGGGAGATTGCCTGGCTCTTTACCGTGGCATTGAGAGCTCCGGGACACACACCGCTCACAGCTGTGTAATGTGCTTGGGAAACCGTTTTGCTAGTGGCTGTTTGACTGAGCCCTCGGGGGGTCAGCATCTCCTGCAGAGCTTCCTCCCCGTCTCTGTAGAGGTTGGTGCTGTTGATTCGGAAGGAAGGGTGGCCTTGTAAAACACAGGACCGGAAGCCAGGTCTCCTGGTTTCTCTTCCTAGTTGTGCCACCGAGTCACTTTGTGGCCTTGGAGAAGTCCCTTCCCTTCCGTATGTCTCATTTTCCCCATTTGCTTAATGGGTCTAGTAACACCATCTTGTCTCCAAAGGGGGATGTGGGGGTTCATGTACGTAAAGTGCTTTGAGATCAAAGGCACTGGTGATGGGTAAGGAAGATTCTGTGACAGCTGCACAGAAACCGCAGAAGCTTGCTTTGTGTTGACATCACCTCTGAAACTGATCTCCTGCGTCAGCTGAACCAACTCAACTCGAACCCGTCTCTCATTCCTGTCTCCTCCTCTAGGACTCTCAGCCCTCTCCACTAGCCCTGCTTGCAGCAACATGTAGTAAAATCGGTCCTCCCGCCGTGGAAGCCGCCGTCACGCCTCCGGCCCCGCCTCAGCCCACACCTCGAAAACTTGTCCCCATCAAACCCGCGCCAGTTCCTCTGGGTTCCAGTAAAAACAGCTTTGGGATCTTGTCGTCGAAAGGGAACCTCTTCCAGATCCAGGGGTCTCAGCTTGGGACATCCTATCCTGGGGGGCAACTGGTTTTTGCCATTCAGAATCCAACCATGATCAACAAAGGGGCCCGCTCGTCGACGAACATCCAGTACCAGACTGTCCCACAGATTCAAGCAGCAGGGGGGCAGACCATACAAGTTCAGCAGAACCTCGCCAATCAGATTCAGATTATCCCCGGCACTAACCAAGCGATCATTACCCCCTCCTCTTCCACGCACAAGCCAGTGCCAATCAAGCCGGCTCCCGCGCACAAGGCAGGGGCATCGTCTGTGCAGAGTGCAAGCAACGTCGTCAAGCTGACCGGCGGCAGCAACGTAACGCTCACCCTGCCGGTTAATAACCTGGTGAACGCCGCTGAGCCCGGCGCTCAGGCTCAGATCATAACCGAGAGCCCGTCAAAGCCCTGTAAAAAGACTAGAAAGAAGGCCATGTCACCAGCCCAGACGACAGCCATGGCGGTGGCCGAGCAAGTAGAAACGGTGTTGATAGAGACTACGGCAGATAACATCATCCAGGCCGGCAATAACCTGTTGATAGTGCAGAGTCCTGGCTCAGGCCAGCCAGCGGTGGTGCAGCAGGTCCAGGTGGTCCAACCCAAGCAAGAGCAGCAGGTGGTCCAGATTCCCCAGCAGGCCCTGAGAGTGGTCCAGGCGGCCTCAGCCACTCTCCCTACCGTCCCCCAGAAGTCCTCTCAGAACTTTCAGATCCAGGCAGCTGAGCCAACTCCTACGCAGGTACCACGTCCTTAACCCTTTCTGGTGGGTACATCTGTGTCTGGGAGCTCCACCGAGGATCACTGACTCAGCGGGTGGTGTATAAGGAAAGGCAGAGTGGCCTGGGGATACTGCATGAGACAGGAATCTCTTTGCAGGCAGGGTTTGCGTTTAGAAATGCCTGGGCAACTTCTCCTTTCCAGCTGCGTATTGCAAGCCCAGATTTCCATGTTATGCAAGCATGGTGGTTGGCTGTGTCGCGAGGGAGGTGGAAGGCTTATTTAAGGCTGTTGTACAGAGAGGGGTTGATGTCACTAGTGTGTGGCAAGCAACCACCTTCCTGTCTGTTAGAAGCCTTTCTTGTGATGGATCCTTGCAGGACTTGCCTGATTTTTACATAGCCTGCTCCTGATTCTTGACTGATCATGACTAGGTGGAGAGATTCAGGGCAGCCCCGGTGCTGGGAAGGCACAGGAAACTCCTCTAGCAGGCTGGTCGTAGCGTATGTTAATTACATTTAATTCCGCGTGAATTGCGGACTTACTACGGCCTTGGGTGTCCTGGGCCTGAAGCCCATCATTCCGATCCTGTGGGTCACACAGGGCCGTATTTGTCCTCTTGCTAAGCGACGGCTGGTCTGATTCCTTTCCTGTTTCCTTCTTCCTTCAGGTCTACTTCAAAACACCTTCAGGGGAGCTGCAGACCGTGCTGCTTCAGGAAGCCCCAGCTGTGACGGTGGCCCCGTCTCCCACCTCGTGCAGCAGCCCCGTGTCCCGCAGCTCCCAAGCAGGAGGGAGCTGCAAAAAGCCAGCCGCCCGCAAAGAGCGCACCCTGCCAAAGATCGCCCCTGCCGGAGGCATCATCAGCTTGAACGCGGCTCAGCTGGCAGCTGCGGCCCAGGCGATGCAGACCATCAACATTAACGGTGTCCAAGTCCAAGGAGTACCTGTCACCATCACCAACACCGGAGGTGGGCTATGCATTGTTACACACTGGTGCTGGGGATGGGACACGTGCTGACCGGGGAGATGGGCGGGGTAGGGGGAGAAGGAACTATCCGAGCTCCCAAAACTTAATGTTCTGGAGGCCAGGAACTTCCTAGCTGGCAGTGTAGATTTCAGTTGGATTCTCCCCTCTTAAGCCAAGCCCTGGTGCCTGTGACAGAGTATTGCAAGGTGTTAACTGCCCTACAATTCTATAGCCCCTTTCATCCCAAAAGATCCCACATAGCATCTCTGCAGCCCTAGGGAGGCCTCTCCAGGCACTTCCTGGGAAAGCATTGCCTGTTAGATCAGCTGTGCTGAGCTCCAGCTGGGGATGCATCACTTGGAAGTAACCGAGGAGGAGAAGGACCTCGGAGTATTGGTTGATCACAGGATGACTATGAGCTGCCGATGTGATTTGGCTGTTAAAAAAAGCTATTGCGGTCTTGGGTTGCATCAGGCGAGGTATTTCCAGTAGAGATAAGGAGGTGTTAGTACCGTTATCCAAGGCACTGGTGAGACCTCATCTGGAATACTGTGTGCAGTTCTGGTCTCCCATGTTTAAGACGGGTGAATTCAAACTGGAACAGGGACAGAGAAGGGCTACTTGGATGATCTGAGGAATGGAAAACCTGTTTCATGAAAGGAGTCTCAAAGAGCTTGGCTTGTTTAGCCTAACCAAAAGAAGGCTGAGGGGAGATATGATTGCTCTGTATAAATATATCAGAGGGATAAATACCAAGGAGGGAGAGGAATTATTTAAGCTTAGTACCAATGTGGACACAAGAACAAATGGATATAAACTGGCCATCAGGAAGTTTAGACTTGAAATTAGACGAAGGTTTCTAACCATCAGAGGAGTGAAGTCCTGGAACAGCCTTCCAAGGGGAGCAGTGGGGGCAAAAGACATATCTGGCTTCAAGACTAAGCTTGAGAAGTTTATGGAGGGGATGGGATGATGGGATAGTCTAATTTTGGCAATTCATTGATCTTTGACTATTAGTGGTAAATATGCCCAGTGGTCTGTGATGGGATGTTAGCTGGGGTGGGATCTGAGTTACCACAGAGAATTCTTTCCTGGGTGCTGGCTGGTGAGTCTTGCCCACATGCTCAGGGTTTAGCTGATCGCCATATTTGGGGTCGGGAAGGAATTTTCCTCCAGGGCAGATTGGCAGAGGCCCTGGGGGTTTTTCGCCTTCCTTTGCAGCGTGGGACACAGGTCACTTGCTGGAGGATTCTCTGCACCTTGAAGTCTTTAAACCACAATTTGAAGACTTCAAGACATAGGTTAGGGGTTTGTTACAGGAGTGGGTGGGTGGTGAGATTCTGTAGCCTGCGTTGTGCAGGAGGTCAGACTAGACGATCATAATGGTCCCTTCTGACCTTAAAGTCTATGATTCTAACGGGGAGTTCACAGCCTCTCTGAGCTACAACGTTAATTAATGAATGCAGGGATTGATAGTCACGCCTGTCTGAGGGCTAAGACTTGCTCTGTTTAGTCCTGAACCAGTCTCCCAAAAGTCCTGGTAGATGTAGGGACCAGTGAGTTTTAAGGTCACCCACTTACCAGACCACCCCAAGACTAGAGGCAGATGGTTTGGAGAGCTGGAATTCCTTCTTCGTCCTGGTCTATCCCTATCAGGTGATACCATCCCTTCATCCAATTTCCTTCTTGATTCTTTTGCCTTTCAACTCCCCATTATTTAAGCAGCTATTTAAAACAAAACCATTAGTGCTAGAACCCAGTGACTGATGCCACCCAAAAGTTTGGAATCCCAGCTTCCAAGTAGCATAAAGCCTTCATCTCTTATCTCTGGCACAGGGGTTCTGAAACTTCCTTGCATTGCAGCCCCTTCTGCCAACAAAATTACTACATGACCCCGGGCGAAGTAGGGGGCTGGAGACCGAGACCCGCCATCCTGGGTGGGGTTGGAACTCGGCCTTAAGCTTAAGTCCTGGGCCCCAGCAAGTCTAATGATGACCCTGGCGACCCCATTGAAATGGGGTGGCGACCCACTTTGGGGTCCTGACCCACAGTTTGAGAACCGCTGCTCTAGCAGGTGGTGAGTTATTCTCTGCCACAGTCACATGGGGAAGGCTATTGTGAAGGTGCTTCCAGTAGTCCAACCACTACAGATGCTTTCAGGATCTCTAATATTTTCCAAGCGCTGGTCCCGGACTAGTGATTAGAAAGAAATCCAATGAATTCTGAGTGGCTGTGCATCCCAAGCCATGGCTGGAAAATATCCATCTTCACAATGCCCTTGCTGTTCAGTTCTGGACACAGCCCTGTGTCCCCTTCTTAGGGCAAGTGGCTTTCTTACCATGCCAGAGAAAATATCAAAACCACAACTGCCATCCTGCATTCGTGCAGGCTGGAGGTAATGGGGAGTCTTAGGCCTGGTCTACACTGGGGGGGGGATCGATCTAAGTTACGCAACTTCAGCTACGTGAATAACGTAGCTGAAGTCGACGTACTTAGATCAACTTACCGCAGTGAGTCGACTGCTGCCGCTCCCCCGTCGACTCCACCTGCACCTCTCGCGGCGGTGGAGTACAGGAGTCGACAGGAGTGCTCGGGAATTGATTTACCACGTCTAGACTAGATGCGATAAATTGATCCCCGCTGGATCGATCACTACCCGCCGATCTGTTGGGTAGTGTAGACATACCCTTAGCCAAGTCCCCAGATCTCTTTGGCAACAGAGAGGTTGCAAATACTGCGCTGCATTCCACTCCTCCTCTTCCAAGGTGGCATGGCAGACATAGACACTTCCTTTCATAGCTGACTACGGAGAATCATTGCCTACATCTGCCCCCACCCAACGTGGTAGATTGACCCATTGCTCTCAGTGGCAGGTTTTTGCATTCCAGAGCTCAGATGGGAGGCTTTTGCTGCAGGAAACATCAGGAGAGGAAGTTCTGTCTGGAGAAAGGCAGTCTGCTTTCGGATCCAGAGAGACATGCCAGAGGGCTTCTTCCTCATCAGGAAGTGGCAAGATTCCCAGCTGGATTTTTAAGTTGGAAGCTGTTCTTCCTCGCTTGGCTAAACCAAAGCAGTGTAAAATACGGAACAGTTGCTAAGTGAGTTGCCATGATTCGTGGCTTGCACGCAAATCCGTCCCGAAACCAGCATATAAATGAATCGGCACTGGCAGATATTCACCCCTGTCAGCCTCATCCATCATGGTGTAGTGGTTTCACAGTAAATTCCCAGCTTCCAGCGTAGGGTAGATGGCTGAAGAGACCAGTCCTGATGATAATGGGACCTTGCACCTCAAGGGTTGCAAGTTCAGATCCAGCCCAGGCTCCGCTGGCCGTTCCATACGTGAGATGAGTTGATGGGTGTCTCAGCCCGTTTTCCACAGAGACGTCTCCACTCCCCAGTTGGCGCTTATTGGCCACTTGCTTGGCGGGCCCCCGGGGTGAAGCCAAGCACTGTGGCAGCTGAGCTGTCCTCTCCACTGCAGAGAGAGGATCCCCGCAGAGCAGCCTGGAGGCATGCTGAAGGGAAAGCGCGCCCTGTCGATGCTGCATCTCTCAGCAGCTACAGGGCTTCGGTCTGAAGAGGCGCCGAGCTGACCTGTTTCAGCAGCACCGAAGGATGTTGGATTTCCATCATCCAGGGGCCCTGGGAGGATCAATTCCACTCACTGACATTGACATCGGTTTTCTTCTTTCCAGCCCCCGGCGTGGCCCAGGCTCCCGCGTCCCTGAAGCCAGAGCTTGGAGCTGGCCCCTCAGGGTGCCAGGTAAGTCCCGTTTTTTTGGTCAATATATTGCACGTTTTTTCAAAGTTTCTTTTTCGTTTCCTGTTCCGATCGTTCCCCACCCCAAAGGGTTAAACTGAAAACTTTGAAAAACCGCACAGTATATTCAGAAAAAAGGGACTTACCTCCCCCTTAAAGGGCCAGCACCATGGGGGGGTCCAGGGCCTTTGGGACACTGCATGCTGGGGTGGCACAGAGGAGAAAAGGAAGTGCTGAGTAGGGACTGGTCACATTATTGGAGCTGGTTCCTTTCCCTTTGCCAGGCCTCCCTTTTAAAGATTTGATCTGCGTAGGCAGCTGGAGCATTGCCCGCGTGAGGAGTATGGGAAAAGAGGTGTGTACAGCACCATCAGCGAGAGGGCTGCATCTCGCCTTGGAGTCGGGAGTCTCCAAGGGGGACACTGAGCAGCACCCTTAATACCCTTCTCCCTCTGCTTCTCATCCGCAGGCCAGCAGCAGCTGACGGTCCAGAACGTGTCTGGCAACAACCTGACCATCAGCGGCCTGAGCCCAACCCAGATCCAGTTGCAGATGGAGCAGGCGCTGTCCGGGGAGATCCAGCCTGGGGAGAAGAGGCGGCGCATGGCGTGCACCTGCCCCAACTGCAAGGACGGGGAGAAAAGGTGAGCGGGCAGATGGGGTGGGACAGGCGATTGGAGGGGGAGGCGGGAGAGAGACAGTGCCAGCCATCTTCCTCCATCTCCACGTCAGCAAGAGTAACGGTCGCGATGGTTTCCCGTCCCTCCAGGTCAGGGGATCAGGGGAAGAAGAAGCACATCTGCCACATCCCTGAGTGCGGCAAGACTTTCCGCAAGACCTCGCTGCTGCGGGCCCACGTCCGCCTGCACACGGGCGAGCGCCCGTTTGTCTGCAACTGGGTCTTCTGCGGGAAGAGGTTCACGCGCAGCGACGAGCTGCAGCGGCACGCCCGGACGCACACAGGTCTGTTGCCCGCCGCCCCTGCTCCCCATCTCCCGTGTCCTGCCAGGATGTTTTGCATGTAGTCGGGAGGAGAGCCCTGCCGCGTCTCGGAGCTGGTCTTGTGGGACTGTCTCCCCCCTCCCCTGCTTCTGCTTCTGCTTCGCCAGTAACCCCAGAGCATGCTGCCGCCTTGCCCGCCGGGGCGATGGGGAGGGGGGCTCCAGAACATACGGGGTCTCTGCCGCCTTCGCGTCGCCCCAACCGCAGCTTGGCACGGATCTGTCATCTCCCTGCAGGGGGAGGGACGGGATGCTAGCTGTGCTCGCGGGGAGCTGGGCGGGAAGGGGACCGTGCATCGGTGCATTCCACCTTCCCGGCATGAGGCTGCAACACACGCCCTTCCGAGCTGGAGCGATCGAGTCTTGGGTGCTTGGCGGCAGCAGCGAGCGCCGGCCTCTGGCGCATTGAACGTTGCTCTTGTTTCCCTGGCAGGTGATAAGCGTTTTGAGTGTGCGCAGTGCCAAAAGCGCTTCATGAGAAGTGACCACCTGACGAAGCACTATAAAACCCACCTGGTCACCAAGAACTTGTAGGCTTAGCGGCAGCCAGACGGGGGCCGCCAGCTGGCCCTCTAAGCACTGGCTAAGGCCCGCACTGTCATGGACAGTCCCTGGCAAGGGTACGGCGTAGGGGTTGGGCAGACGGCCAGCCCTGGGACTCCGCAGCCGTAGTCGCGCTCCTGGCTTTGATACCCTCCCAGAGGTGTCCGCGCGGGGAGAGGAGTCATTGCTGATCTTCCTTCCTTGGAAGCCATCCGCCTTCCAGCACAATCCTTGGGAATCCAGCTCCTTCCTCCGCAGAGCGCGTCAGAGCCGGACATTGATCGCACGGGCCGGGACGAAGGAGAAGCCCTTGTTTCCAAAGGAAAATGCTGACATGGGTGCGAGCGGCAGCCCCTGCGCCGCAGGCTGGGGGGACTGAACAAGCAGGGCCGTGCCAACCTCGTGTAAACGGCACGAGGATGCCAGCGAAACTTTCTCACGGTGGGCCCCCTCCTCCCCGCGCTTGTGAAGCTTTGACACAGCAGGGGGCAGCACTCCACAGACAGCCCACCCGGCGCTCTGCGGCACATTCCTACTTTATATTTAAAATCTATAAATATCTATAAATATCTCTCTATATAAACTCCTTTGGAAGGTCCTTTTTTTCTATGGAAATTGTTGCCTTACGCTCCCAGCTCCCGAGTATGAACATTGTGTATCGTGAGTGCTTTTTTTTATTTTATTTTTTATTTAATTGTGCCCGGTTAATAATCTCCCCTCCCAATCCTTTTCCCTCCAAAGTTCTTTTCCAATAATGAATTGAAGAGGGTTTTTTTCTCTCCGCTGATTTATTTTTCCTTTTCATTTCCCAGTGACACGGCGTTTCCTTTTGAATCTTGGATCTTTAAATCCTCTTTTGCCCATAATGCCGACCCCCCCCCCCACCTCCCCGCACTGTGTATAGTGTATATTGTATCATAGACTATATTGCTTCCGTGTTTACTACATGTTTCAAAAACATATGGCTTGTTATTTTTGAGCTTTTAAATTAAAAAAAAAATCCACTTTATTTTTTAGGTGTAACTGCTTGAGGTATGTTTTATGAATTAAGTGACCGATCTGTTATTCTTTATTAACGATGTAACTGGCTGGCTGGTGCAGAGTCAGCCAAGAGTTTTTTCTTGCTAAATAAATTTAGTCGCCAGAGGCAAACCCAGCATGGGAAGCAAAGGATCCTTTGTCTCGTAAGCGTGACGTCCGGTAAGAGAGACCAGCTTTTGGGGAGAGGTGAGAAGGTTAGTTGGGGGGGTGACCGGGTCAGTTGTTTATACACAGCACCAAGAGACTCGCCGAGATTTCAACCCACTGGAGCCACCTACATTGTCTCTGCCCCAAGGAGCTGACAGTCTACCTAGACCAGGCAAAGGCTGGGAGGAGAACGATCGGCACACAGAGGGGAAGTGATCTGCTCAGGATCAGTGGCAGAGCTGGGAATGGAACCGAGGTGTCCTGAATCCCAGGCCAATGCCCCACCCACCAGACCATACTGTTATTTGTATTAAGGCCCCATTGTGCTAGGAGCTGTACATTAGAATAAGAGACAGTCCTTGTTGCAAAGAGCTTTACAGTTGCTGCCCACTGGCTTTCATCTTTTGGAGCATCTCTTTAATCCTCCCGAGCTTCACCCAAAAAAGGATGCAGTTGGGCCGGACCTCAGAACCATCTGTGGGTCTGCAAGTCCTTCTCTGGATGGGGCGACACACGCTTTACCCTCTAACCTGCCTGACCTTGGGAAACGAGCTGCTGGTCCCCCCCAGACGAGTGTCCATGTGGAGATGAACCACCATGGCCATAATCCCCCTCGGGGGCATTCTCAACCAAAAATCAGAGGGAGGGGGCTGGCCCCTTTAAACCCCCTTCTCCAGGGCTGGGGCACTGTTGGGGAAGCCCTCGTGTGCTCCCTGCTCTGGATACCCAAAGGCCTTCAATCAAGCCCCGTTCACCAGCCCCGGGCAGGAAAAAGTACAGCCCATGACTTTCAAAAGCTGCCCGGTGACCTGGAGGGTGGGAGAAATTGCTCTGGAACTGGAGTCATTGGAAAGTGTCCCCCTACCTCCATCCCTCCCCCTCCACACACACGCTGCCCCTACTGTGCTCTGTTAACATCTCCTGGAAACGAGAGAAGGAGCCAGCGTCATCGTTAGCTCGTTCTCGGGAATGGGAAAGTGGGAACTGCTCCATTCTGAGCCTGCCAGAGGAGGCCAATAATGCACCAAAGTGGCCACTTAGAATTCTCTTTCAGAGAGGCCTCCAGGCTGGATCATGGCTCGGGGAGTGGGTAAGAAATAGTTCAGGATCTGGGACAGGAGGGAAGGAACTACGGTTAAAATTACCAGCCTGTTTTGGCTGAGTCTACTGTAGGCAGCTTAGCATCCCAAGATGCTACTTTTAATCTCTCTAACAACCCTAGCGACTATAAATTCCACGATCTTGGGGAAGCAGTAAGGAGGAACAACTGAGCCTGCACTGTTACATTCCAGCCTTTATTAGGGAAGTTGGGAGGAGAGGAAGGATTGTTTTATTTACAAGAAATAGAGTATTTATGGGAACTTTCTTTATGGGGGGGAAAAAAATGTCTCGCCCACCGTTAAATTCTTACAGGCGAGCAGAGAACTTGCCTGTTGAGCCAGGCCACGAGTCTCCGCAGGAGAGCAGACCTTGCCCGATGGGAGGGAGACTGAATCCCCCCTCACTCCACAGACTAAAGCTCTGGGTTTATCTACAGGCCCGGCCGGTAAACAGTCCGGTAAGAACTGTTTCAAAGCAGAAGTTCCCCTGCTCTGGCCAGAAAGTCCAGTGCCGTGACTGCAGCACTGTCCCTCTTCCAGTCTGATGTGCTGGGAGAAGCGCTTGCCCAGAGGTGGAGGAGAGGGCCGCAGCGTTAATGTTCAGCGTCACGGAGCCGGGATTCCAGAATGGAGCTGGACAGAGATCATCCCTCCCTCCTCAGGGACTCGTTAGAACGGAAGAACACACCCGCCAGCTCGCTTCTCCCCCAGGCGCGGCAGATCCCAGACGCTTCATTAGAAGGCGTAAGTCACCCCTCCCCAGGAATGCACGCACCGAGGTCTGCAGGCTAGGACTGAGCGCCCCAGGACGGCCACACAACAGGCGCTTCAGGCCCCCCGGGGCATGTACTAAGTGCACGAGAGCTCAAACTGCGCCACTGCAGCCCCCGTAACGCGTGCCGGGAGGGGCGCGTTATCTCCACCGCGCTCACCCCCAGAGCTGCTGTGCGGGAGGGGACCTGGGCCGCCAGCACCCCAGCGTCCGTTGGCGCGGGGGCGACGACAGATCCTCTCAGGAGCGTTTTCAGAGCTGGTTCGCCGTTGTCTTGATGGACGTTTGGGAGGCCCTGGCCCAGGCGCCATCTACTCCATCTTGATGATCATTTTCTTGACCGCCCTCCGGGAGGTGCCACACTTGCTGTTGATCACGGCGTTGAAGTTGCAGCTCTTGCCGCACACTTTGGTGACGTACTCTGGAGGAGGGTGGGGAGGGCAGAGAAGTGGAGCAAACAACCGGAGTCGCTCTGGCTTTTTATGAATCCACTGAGATGAATCCCGCCGGATCCCAGCATGCAAAACCCCTAAGACCCTGCAGCATGTGGGACCCAGACAAGGGCACCAGGCTCTCATCCCAGAGGTGCTACTAACTTGCTCTGCGGCCTGGGGCATCACCCATCCAATCTGATCTTGCATTTAGCCCGTTGGTCTCTTCACCCTCTGTGTCTGAATTCTTTGCTGCCGAACGGGGTGGTAATCCCTACATCATAGGAAGTGCACGAGGGCGGCGGATTAACTAGATCAGAAACACTAGTGAGTTGAAGGTGTGTAAAGCGCGGGGGGACGTGACTGGGGATCTGGGCTGCCTTGGCTTGTGGGTGCCCAATCTGAGACCCCTTGACGGGGTTTTCAGAAAGCACTTAGCACCGGCACTCTGAAAATCAGGACCCTTTAAGGTGCCTCGAGTGGACCCTTTCTGGAACCCTTGGCCTGCATCTGCCGTTAGAATTGTTCCGGCGTCTCCGCCTGTCCAACCCAGGCACACAGCTTGGGGTATTTAAAGCTAACCCTCTCTTTCTGCATGTGCTTCTCACCACTAATGCTTCTCACCACTAATGCTGGGTGGTTATGTTTTGTAATTCGCTGGGCTGGGCCCAATGACTCTTTTGGCAGTAACAATGCTGCTGTGTTTGGGGGTCCTGAACTACGGCAGAAGGGGGAGTTGTACCAGCACAGATGAGGGTACGGATAAAATATATTCCCAAATAGCAGATTGGATGGTTCGAGGGGCTGGGAATGGGCTCTGAGCTTTTCCTCTCTAAGTCCCCAATTCAAATCAAGCCCGGCTCGCCAGGGACTGAAAATCATCGTCTCCCTGGGGCGGTGCATGGCCAAGGTGAAAGGAGTGGGGCGGCTCGGTCCTCTTTCCAGTAGACAGCTAGTCCCGACCACCCCGGCACTAACTGGCCAGCTCTGGCAGTCTCAGCAGGGGAGCTGAGAACTGAACCGGGCATGCAGACCAGAAAGGCTGCCCGAGGAAAACCCCAAGCAGGTCTCAGCCCCGTTGGCTTTGCTGTGGGACGGACGCTTGAAGTGCCCCTGCCGGTGCTATCCGCCGGCTCTGTGGATTCAGTCCCAGGCAGTCCGACTTCGCACCAAACAGAACCCCTCCTGCTGGGCAAGGACAATGGAGGAGGTGAGCAGAAGGAACCTGTCGGCCAGGATCAAACAGCGTCATCCTGTCCCTTCTGCAGGGGATCGACACCATGTGCGCTCTCCACCCTCTGCGTCGTCGGGAGCCCCAGCCTCGCCCCATCTCCCTCCACAGAGCCCCCTGCCCACCCCCCCTACCTTTGATAGCATTTACCACTGCGACCGGCAGGCGGATGGGTTTCTCCATGGTCGTGTTGTTGTGGGCGATGCGCTGGCCGGTGGCCGAAGACCTGGCGAGTGTCTCCCGGGAGAAGAAGTAATCCAGCAGGCGCCTGGTCATCAGCTTGGGCTTGTCGGTAGAAACCTGCGAGAGGTCGTCCAGCTGGTGGTGGGTGACGTAGACCCCCGAGTTGGGGATCAGCTCCAGCTTGGGTCTCCCATTCTCCTATGGCAAAGGGAGAGACGCCCCTCGTCATTCTGCTCTTTGTGGGTGCCCGGAGTCTGGGGAGACTCAGGCAGACCCCACCGTGCAGGCTAAACAAGTGACAGACGCTGGGCTAACCCCAGCTGTCCTCTCTCAGGCCCAATCCCATTGATCTCAATGGAGGGGATATCAGCCCTCATTTTACAGATGGGGAAACTGAGGCACTGAAAGGTTGAGTAACTTGCCTTGGGTCACACAGCACGTTACTGGCAGAGCTGGGAATATAACCCAAGAGTTAGGGGGGAGGGATAGCTCAGTGGTTTGAGCATTGGCCTGCTAAACCCAGGGTTGTGAGTTCAATCCTTGAGGGGGCCATTTAGGGATCTGGGGCAAAAATCTGGTCCTGTTGGACTAGATGACCTCCTGAGGTCCCTTCCAACCCTGATATTCTATGAAGACTAGTCTTTCTATGAAAGTCCTGCTCCAACCACTAGACTCCACTCCATCCTACAGCCAGGATTAGAACCCAGGATTCTTGCCTCTGTGCTCTAGTCACTCAACCGCACTCCTGCCTCTAAACTGGAATTTAAGCCTTTAAAATAGGGCAGGAAGGTGTTTGTCTGAGAGCAGGGGCCACACTCAGAGCTCCAAGCTGAGTCCTGCCGATCACCCCAGACACTATAGGGCAAACCTGCACCCCATTGCTCTCGGGAGAGCTGCCAGAGCTTGGACAACGCCCCCGGAGCCAGCAATAGGAGTCTCCTCTCTCATTCAGCCAGGAGAGGCTTAATGCTCCATTTCTGCAGTCCTCAGGAATCCAGGCACCTTTTAAGGCTGGAGCAGCTGCCTGTTTGGGCTCAGTTCTCCTGCCCAGCACGGCGGGGGGCAAGCGTGGGCCCAGGGAATCACAGAAGCCTGAGCTTGGCATGCGCTGGCTGATCGGTAAAAGGAAGAACCGAGGTGCGTCTGTTGCCGATTCAGGAAGACCCCGTCGCAGCCATTTCCCCAATCCGTTCAGAGTCTGCCTGGGTCCCCTTTAAGAGAGCTGGAAGTGGTATGGGTGGGGCAGGATATG